CATCAATTAAAAGCTAATTACTCAATTCAATCTAAGCCCATTTTGTTTCTTTTTTGTTTAGTTTGACCTCTCGACATTTTAATTGATTTTGAAGTGTCGTTGCGACACGCAAACCAATCAAAGTACTCATCAGCTTATCAAGCGTTGACAATTCACATTTATTCATTACGATTTGTGTGTCTACAGTTTGAATTAACTAAAAAGAAAGTGCGGAATGACAAGGAATCAGAGAAATTTTAATTATTGTAAATACAATGAAAGTTTGATATTTAGCTCTACAAGTAGTCTAGCTATACTAGATCCGAGTCCTTTACTTATCATACAACTTTTTTGATTTGCTCATTCATTCAGTTTTTTTTTATAAATATATAAATATAATAAAAATATATTTAACATATTTCTAAATTTAATAAGAATTTCTCTTTTCTTAGCTTTATTCCTTGCTTTGTGATTATTTAATTTAAATATATATTTATAAATTTTAAAATATTTAATTTTATATACTTTCAAGAAATTCAACATATTTCTGACTAAAACTATATACTCTATATTTATAAAATATTTTTAAATATAAAAACTTTACTGATTGAATTGATATACTTAATTTTTTTAATGAAACTATATCTATACATAAGTAAATAAATAAATAATAATATTCATCGCTTGCTTGTGTGGAAGCTTCACTGTGCCTTGGCTGTTATTGAGTCACAGAGTGTGCACATACACAATCTGTAGTGCATTCATACATAGATCGTGCTCAATAAATAAAAGCGCTAAAGTAATCAATAATAAAAGCATTTTTTATGTTCAATAACACTTAATTTTGTTCACATTTTCATTTTGCCTCAACTAAATGCCAATTAAAATTCGTAATTATTTTTTAATGGCATTTTGTGGTCAATATCCGGCGAATCATTTCAAAAATCCCTTTGAGGACTTGAACGTTCGCATTTACGACTGGTTGTGCGCTGCCCACATGGACATGGACATGGACTATGACGTTGACCAAATGGCCAATAGTCGTATCAATATCAATTCCAATGTCCATGACTTGTCAAACTGGCGTCCAAGTGTCAGCAGCCCAACCGAATGGGGCCAAATTGCAAGCAATTGCACAACAACAACAATAGCAGGAGGCAACGACTTAGAACACGTGTAAGTACAAGAAAAGGCAATAAGAAGCATTGTCGAGGCCCTCGAGGCACTTGCTCAATGAAATTCAAGCAATCATCGCCGACGTCAACATTTTCGTTGAGAACATGCCGCAAGTGACAATCATTTATATTTAATAAACAACTAAACGCATGCAACACACAGCGACACAGGGCAGCAGGAGGCGTGGCCCCAGCCCTACTCGCCTGCCGTAACCCATTTCTGATTACTGCTTTGTGTGTAGTGGAAACGCCCCCGCGGCTAAAACGAGAACAACGATGACGACGCTGACGATGACGACAGGTCCGAGACAATGGCCATCGTCTCGGTCGTGAAACGGTTTATCATGCATTTTGTGTTGTTGTAAATCGAATCGTCTGAATAATGCAGCAGGTACACGCAGCACAGCAGAGGGCGGTGGGCGGTAGGAGAGCGAAGCGTGCAGCAGTGGCAAAATGATCAGCGCCATAGAAAGCAAATAAATAAGCAAGCAAGCAGGAGAGCCTTGCATACACTACGAGTGCAAGACTAGCAGATACCCTAGGAAAATAACTTAAATTTCATATTACCAACGAGTCAGTTTAGCCTTTTTCCGGCTAGATCAAATCATATAGAATTTCGCATAGAAATATCTCAACTTCTACAATTTTCTTGCTTTTTTAATAAATTAAAATAGTACAAGAAAATAGACATTGACACAACCACTACTATTTTAATGAAAGACTTCATTTTATTCATTTTTCTTCCACAAACCCAGAACTAAAAATACAACTGAACGGATAATAAAATATGTTCGTTTTAATATTCATTTAAAATTGTTTTCAATATATTTTGTTTATTTCTAATTGGGTTGTCGAATATTTTGAGCTTAGTCGCACTACTATTTTTATGAACAAGGCTGTAAATACTATATATACTATATATATAAATACTATACCATACTATATACTATTATATTGTATATAATCTATACTATAACATTCCATACCTTAGTTTATATACAATGTATATTATCACCCTAACCACGGTCTGCCGTTTTACAGGGTATTTTTTAGTATGAATGAAAACAAAAATAGAAGACAAGAATGTGCAGAAGGACACTGTTTCGCTTTGGGCGGCATTCAAATTGAATATTGAAAACTGCCAAACGCTTGAATTATGCATTAATGATGTGTCTCGCTCTGTTAGAGCATGGGCGTGGGCGTGGCAGGTGCCAGTTGAAGGGTTCATGCAGCAAGCAGAAAGGACAGCGAAAGGAAAAGAAAAGACAATGGCAATGCGTCGCCGTCTCCTGCGACTAACCACTAGCCAGTGGCCAGTGGCCGGTGGGCAGTGGGCAGTGGGCAGTGAGCAGTGGGCAGTGGGCAGCGAGCAGTGGGGGCTGGCTGGCATCGACTGCTTATTAATTTTTTATGCGTCTGCTATTTTTATGGTTGACATGAAAGCGCTTTGCCCCGGGCTCTTGTTCTTGGTGTTTTGTGTACATTTTGTGTACTTCAGATAATAGATGGACGCTTGTTTGGCATTGAGCACTGCATTTGCGGTCAATTTGCATTTTACTTATTTTGCAATTACAGTTTAAGCACATTTTAAGAAATTGAGTTCTTTTCTATGCAGAAAACCCACACACACACATACACACAAGCATAAAGAAGTATAAGTGTATTAGTGAAGACAACTAACCGAACATAATTGAAGTAAACAGAATTAAACACAAAACTTAACACACAAAAATAATGTAAAATTAACACGCGTAAATATTTACTCATGACTAGATATGCTACATTGTTCGGTCGTGTCACGAGCGAGCTCTGCACTGCGCTTGGGACAAGCTGTCCCAAAAAGGTACACAATGTACATATGTTGCAAAAATATATTTTCTAGCTGAATTTTCTGCTTTTAAGTAGTTTTTAATTAATCTTAATTTATAAGTAAGCTAAAAATAGTGAAAAGTGCACAGATACAAAAAGAAATATAAAAATTAATCCATATCCCTGCAGGATATATACTGCATTATGCAAGTACCAATTGACGGCCATCTCTAGTTGACACGAACAGTTCTATCGAAATGTTAGCGTCCGATTTAATTAAATAGACGCTAAGTTTGCTCAGTAAGAGTTTAATGCAACTATTTACACGCAGATGTATGCACGTCTGGATGTATTTAAGGACATCAGTGTGCAGCTAAATGAAAACATTGAAATCAGTTGACAAAAGACGTTAATTACCGGCATTAGCACACAAAACCCCTGGCCGGCTTATCGGCTCCATAAATTGGAAGCCGACCAAAAATTGTCATGGAAAATATGTGTGCGTGTGCGTGTGTCTCTGTGTGTGCGTGTGTATGACCGCGTAAAACTCATTACATGCCACATACCCCGCCCACACGCACAGAAGCCCCTCCGGTGACCACAAACATGTTGTAATGCGGGGTCTCTATCAACATGGCCAACAATCGGGCCGGGCCGGGCAGAGCCTGCGGGCATTTTGTTCTCGGCCAGAACCTGCGCCAGGTTGATGGCTTTAAACAATTTGGCTGAAACCAAAATTGCCAAAGCGCTAATCTATCAGGAGAATGAGCCCGGCCACTTAAGGAACTGAACTGAGTTGAAGTCGCGCCTGGCTGAGCTAAAAGATCGTAATGATACGAGATGATGAGCATCTGGAGTGTGTGGTGCAACAATAACGCACCACAAGAGCTTCTCATATCCTTTCAAATGACAAAAATTTGTTGGCGCTTGACGGGCGGCTTCGCTTGACAGCAACGCGAAGTCAAAGTTGTCGTTGAGTCGGGAGTCAGCAGCAATTGCCATTTGCCGTTGTCTATGCCACCAGCGACGACGCGCCTTATCAACTATGCAAGGCTTTGTCTAAATGATTGTCTGTCTCTCTCGCTCTCGCTTTATCCCCCTCTCTTTCTCTAGCTCCTTTCGACTGCTGGCACTGCAACCTGTTTTTCGCTGGTGTCTTTTGTTGCGCTTAATGAATTTTACGTACATTTTACGAGCGCTGATTTCCGTCAGAGAGCGACACCCACTGCCCCCGTCTACACAGCCCCCATCCCCAGCAACGCCCCAGCTATTAATCTACACTTTAGCGCAGAGGACCAAGGCACAACCCTCCCTCGCTAGTTGTGTGCGTGCGTGTGTGTGTGTGCTTATAATGACAAGTTCAACAACAACTTAGCATTGTCTTCGTGGAACATGACGCCCTGACATTTGTTTGCCCAAGTTATGCAAATATTTTTACAGTCAAGAAGTTTTTGTTTAATTGCATATTTTGACTCGAATTACGCGTGTCATAAAGCAAGGATATGAAGCTTACTGCGTTTAGGGTTGCTGACAATTAACCTGCTGCTGCTGCTGATGATGATGACGGATGGGAAGAGTTAGTTGTCTGCCTACTTTTCTATATACAACCAACATTTCCATTACAAATACATTTTGAATAGCTCAACATTTCGCGCCAATGTCTCTGATTCTATTTTAAGCCATAAGGTAACACTGTCTAACTATCGTAGTTAAAACTTATCGATATTTTTGTATTGAATGTTGACTTACAGCATATGCTCTGAGCTTAACAGAAGTATTTTGTAAGATTAACAGGGAAATATTTAACATTTACTTGGCATTAGATTTCCAGTTGCGCGCGTAATTTAAATTTCAAGTAGCGTTAGGTACCTGAAAGTTTTAAGTTAATAAACACTCCAGATAAACAATAAATCGATAGAAAAGACCTGCTGTAAGATTAACAATACTTGTGGGACATAACTATTTCGTTATGCATTTCTAATGCGTTTTGGACCATTCTTTGACGATAGTATCGCGGCACAAAGAACAAGACTAAGACTTATCTCGATTAAGAAGCGAATGTATCGATATTATGTCAACAATTCCGCTTAGACGAACGCTGTCCAAGATGAGCTCCTATCTAACTCCTCGCCAATCTGGCGAACACATTGTGAAGCATGCAAAATATGTTAAAGTGCTGCCCGCCGGCATTAAACGGCTTGTCAAGGAGATTGCTGACGGCGTAGTTGGTACGTCCATACTTATAATCTAAGCCATGTGCTCTTAGTTAAATAATTATTTCAGCAAAACGCATCGATGTCGCCAATTTCTCACAGCACGAACTTCACCCCAAGTCCAGCGATGAGTACGCGGCCAATTGGATTTTCATTGTGGACACGCTGAACTTCTGTTTCTGGACGCCACGTGAGTAGCATATATACATATATATATATATATATAATGTATACAATTTAAATTTAATATTTTTATAGATAACTATACCAAGTACAAGGTCAACGGCTACACCGGCTATTTCGCTCTATGTGCGGCCATTAATCGCGCCATGGCGGATGGCTTGGACATAACGAACCCAGAGTTCTACTCGAAAATAGATAAGGAAACGTTGTCCTCCATATTCCGGCCCGACGATGCGATCACACAGATTCCACTGCTTGAAAAGCGTTTGGAGTGCCTACATCAAGTGGGCAAACGTCTGCTCACCAATTGGGAAGGACGCTTCGAGAATGTTGTCAAGGCGGCCAACCATTCAGCCGTGACGTTGCTGAAACTGATAGTGGATGAGTTCCCCTGCTTCCAAGATCAGGCGACCTTTGCTGGCGAACGGGTGGCCATATGGAAACGCGCCCAAATCCTTGTCGGCGATTTGTGGTCCTGCTATCATGGCGAAGGACTTGGCCACTTCGAGGATATCGAAAAAGTAACCATGTTTGCGGACTATCGCATACCTCAAGTTTTGGTGCACTTCGGCAGTCTGGAGTACACGCCAGAGCTGCTGGAAGTGCTGCAAAAGGACACCATCCTGGAGAACGGCGACGCCATGGAAGTCGAGATACGCGGCGCCTCCATATACATCATCGAAGAAGTCAAAGATGCAGTGCTGGAGCTGCTGAAGCAACAACATCCAGACGTGGACGCACGCAATGTCAACTCCATACTCATCGATCAATATCTGTGGGACTTCAGGCGCGCCCACGCCGCCGAGCTGGAGCATATACCATTCCACAAGGTGCTGAGCATCTACTACTAAAACGAGACTAAGTTAAGTTGTTGATTGTAAAAGCCAGATCATGAAATCTTCTGCCATTAAAGAAATAATCGACGCCTAAATGAGATAGCGACAACTGAAGAGCATCGACTAAAGGGTTGCCTAGACTAAGACACTGACATTATTGTCTGGCTCTTTGTCGGCTAGTAGATTGGCCTTTAAAACAGTTAACTTATTTTCATGCTAAACAACCAGCGGGCGTTGTCTATGGAGACCTCATCCCGCGGACTACAGAGCATGCCAATTGATAAGCGACAATTAGTTTGGTTAAACTAAAATGCGGTCAGAAGTTTAATGTTACCCACGTTTTTGTTTTGTTTGTGCCCAGTTGGCTGGGGGTGTAAAAAACGACGTCGCTGTCAGCGCTGCGGCACAGTTGAAGTCGGCTCTTTGGCTCGAACGGTTGTCGCGGTCTTCGGTCTTCGGTCTTTGCTGCGCGCTGCTTTGCCCACGGCACAGATTTAAGGTTTCCAACCGAGTCACATGGAAAGAAAGTGAGTGAGTGAGCGAGCGACTGAGTGAGTGTCGGAAATATGCAAATACCAATAGACGAGCTGATAAGATAAAAGTGGGCCGTGCGATAAGCGTGGATTAGTGCGGATGCTGCTGTCCGCAGGCAGCCACAACGAAAACCCAAATTTGAGCGTGCATTGAACTCGTGCGATTGAGTGAGCAATGCCGGCGGACGAGCATGACGGGCTGTGCCTGGAGTGGAAGCAGCTCAACTACTATGTGCCTGCCCAGGAGCAGAGCAACTATAGCTTCTGGAACGAGTGCCGCAAGCAGCAGGAGCTGCGCATTCTGCACGACGGTAAGCTATGTGTGGGAACTGGGCGGATTGTCTTGCCCAATCCGAATCCGAATAACTGTGGCTCTTGGTTTTCCCTCTGCAGTCAGCGGCCACCTCAAGACGGGCGACCTCATCGCCATTCTGGGCGGCTCGGGGGCGGGCAAAACCACATTGCTGGCAGCGATTTCGCAACGGCTGCGCGGTAACCTAACCGGGGATGTGGTTTTGAACGGCATGGCCATGGAACGGCATCAGATGACACGCATCTCCAGTTTTCTGCCGCAGTTTGAGATCAATGTTAAAACCTTTACGGCCTACGAACATTTGTACTTCATGGTAGGTCCTCGCGCATCGGCTACCAATGCCCATTAAACCAGCCTAATCTTGCCCACAATTCAGTCGCACTTCAAGATGCATCGTCGCACTACCAAGGCGGAGAAGCGTCAGCGTGTCTCGGATCTGCTGCTGGCCGTCGGTCTAAGGGATGCGGCGCACACGCGCATCCAACAGCTGTCCGGAGGCGAGCGCAAGCGGCTCAGCCTGGCCGAGGAGCTGATCACAGATCCGATCTTTCTCTTTTGCGACGAGCCAACCACCGGGCTGGACAGCTTCAGCGCCTACTCGGTGATCAAGACTCTGCGCCACCTGTGCACCAGGCGGCGCATAGCGAAGCACTCGCTGACCCAGGTCTATGGCGAGGATTCATTCGCGACGCCCAGCGACGAGAGCACGACTAGCAACTCCATCGAAATGGAAATTGTGGACAAGTCGCAGGAGAGCCTGCTGCAGACCATGAAGGAGCTGCCCACGCTGAGCGTGCTCAACAACAGTCCCAACGGCCGGCACAAGAAGGCGGCCATCTGCTCCATCCACCAGCCCACGTCCGACATCTTTGAGCTCTTCACGCACATCATCCTCATGGACGGCGGTCGCATTATCTACCAGGGACGCACCGAAAAGGCGGCCAAGTTCTTTACAGAGTGAGTGTGAACCATTTCCAGCATCTCAAGATCTGTCACTGGGCGTTGATGGGCAAACAAGACTCCCGGGTCGGCATACTTTGTAGGGTCTTTATGGCACGATCTCTATCTTATACAAATAGAAGAGCATGGGTATTTTTATCGCGCTCTTTATCTTTCGTTAAATGTTAATAATAAACACGGAAATTACATTATTTATTAGGCCGCTTTCTTCAGTGAAATTTACATAGATAAGAAAATAATCCACGTATTTCAATATGCTCTGCCTACACAAATACAGGGTATCCTTTTAGCTAAGATAACAAAGCAGAGCAAAATTAAATGATTTTATAGATGAGTTGGTAAATGAACGGAATATGATTAAAGCGTGTGCAGAGTAGATTATAGGGCATTCTCTAGTCGACTCTCTATCCTTGACATACTTTTCGTATCATTACTTTGCTGCCCTCCATATTTGTTAATGAACTTATAGCTAAGCATGCATCTATATATATGGCAGGGTATCTTAAGGTTTTTCCTGTATATATAGGGTATCTTCAAGTATTTCCTTTATAAGGTATTTTCTAGTACATAAGTATTTCTTATATATGCTCTCTTTTAGTACATAAATTACTCCTTATATAGGGTATCTTCAAGTATTCCTTGTGTAGGGTATCTACTAAGACATACATTACACCTTGTCTATAATTTCTTCTAGTGGGTATCTTCAGTCTTTATGTAGGATAACATCTGGTACATACTTATGGCTTTTATAGGGTATCGTGCAGTGCATACCTTTGACTTACATAGGGTATATTCTAGTACATACGATACATAGAGCATCTTCTAGTATTTTTCCTTGTTTAGGGTATCTTCCAGCTAGTATATGTAAGCCCTATATGGGCAATCTTTCAATATTCCTTGCATAGGGTATCTCCCAGCACATACTTCATTCCTTATATGCCAATAGAGCGCGTTACAATTTCTGCCTTCTCCCTCCAGCATGGGCTTTATGCAGCCACTGAACTGCAATCCCGCCGACTTCTACCTGAAGACCCTCGTCGAAAGCCAAGGCGCCGGGAATGCAGGCGAGCTGCTGCGCGCCAAGTACGAGCATGAAACGGACGGACTCTACAGCGGCAGCTGGTTGCTGGCGAGGAATTACAGCGGGGAGTATCTGAAGCATTCGCAGAACTTCAAGAAGATACGCTGGATATATCAGGTGTATCTGCTGATCATACGCTTCATGACCGAGGATCTGCGCAACATCAAGAGCGGGCTGATTGGGTTTGGGTTCTTCATGATCACCGCCGTGACGCTCTCGCTGATGTACTCCGGCGTGGGCGGTCTGACGCAGCGCACTGTGCAGGATGTGGGCGGGTCCATATTCATGCTCAGCAACGAGATGATCTTCACATTCAGCTATGGCGTCACGTACATCTTTCCGGCTGCGTTGCCCATCATCAGACGCGAGGTGGGCGAGGGCACATACAGCCTGTCCGCGTACTATGTGGCGCTGGTGGTGTCCTTTGTGCCGGTGGCCTTCTTCAAAGGCTACCTCTTTCTGTCCGTGATCTATGCATCCATCTACTATACGCGCGGCTTTCTGCTCTACGTAACAATGGGCTTTCTCATGAGTCTCTCGGCCATTGCGGCTGTGGGCTATGGCATCTTCCTCTCCAGCCTTTTTGAAACGGACAAAATGGCATCGGAGTGCGCGGCGCCCTTTGATCTAATCTTTCTCATATTTGGCGGCACCTACATGAACGTGGACTCGGTGCCGCTGCTCAAGTACCTCTCGCTCTTCTTCTACTCCAACGAGGCGCTGATGTACAACTTCTGGATAGACATTGATAACATAGGTGGGTAGATCAGTAATAATCATGCCTTATCCGACTAAACTCCTCCCGCACAGATTGTCCAGTTAATGAGGAACATCCGTGCGTCAAGACCGGCTTGGAGGTGCTGCAGCAGGCGTCCTTCCGCACAGCCGAATACACCTATTGGATGGACTGTGTCAGCCTGCTGCTGGTCGCCCTGGCCTTCCACATCGTCTCGTTCGTGCTGGTGCGACGCTATATCAATCGCAGCGGCTACTATTGAATTAAGATTTTATTTTATACATTCTATTCAGCTTACATTGTTTACAATTCATATTTAGCGCATTCTATTCGTAGCGAGGCGTTCAAGTACCAGCCGAATAAAGGTTTATTCCTATACATATTCATACATAACTAGTTACATTTTCAATCTTATGCATAAGCCGTTTGCCTGTTCTTCATTCTCATTCTCAACTTTTGCTTCTGCGAAAAATATTGCATTTCATTTATCTCTGTGTATATTTAGATGTAAATACGTATGTAGTCGTCTGTCTCTTTTTGGGGTACTCGGGTAGAGTCGGAGTACCCCAAATAAAATTAAATTAGGCTAGAAAACAACCCGTGAAATATAGAACACTTTGTTAAAAATAAATAGTTTTCAAAAAAAAGGAAAAAATTTAGCTATCAAAGGATATTTGGCGTTTCGCCTTGACGCCAGAGCCGCCACTGGAGCTTGCATTCGGCTGAATTTTGCGTGCCGACCCGTTGCTGTTGCCACCGCCAAAATAGGGGCTGATATTGCGCTGATCCTTGCCGGTGAAGTTCTTCTGCGCCGAGCGGCGCTGCTCGCAGTGCACATTCTCGCGCAGTGCCAGGCCGCCCAAATTGCTTTTGGATGAGCTGTTGTGCAGCGAAGGATTCGGCTGTATGGGCAGCTGTTGTTGCTGTTGCCTACAGAACAAATCCTCAGAGATGCGTTCCATAAAACTGGACTGTGTGGTCGAGTTGGATGCTCCATTGCTTTGGCTCATTTGACTGAAGCCTAATGAGTCGACAGAGTTCTCGCTGCCAAACAGGTTGTGTATGGAGCCACCAGCATTCGACGACTGTGACTGAGCGGAGCTTTGAGACAGAAGAAGCTTACGCTGCGCAAACTCCTCGGGCCCAATGTAGCCCGAAAGTCGAGTGCTGGACTGTCGTTTCGCTTCACTCTCGTGATTACGGGCATGCAAGTAGATGTCATCCGGCTGCTTGCCGGCAATCACGCTGAACGCATACTTCTTGGCCAGCCTATAAGTAAGCCACTTCGATTTATGAGTATTCATTAAGCACGAAAAACCACAGAAATACGAACCGTAGCAACGTCTCGCTGTTGCTTGTCGTGTGCCCTTGATGGAACTCCTGAAAAATGCGTTTGACAATGCGCGCCAAGTCCGCTGCGTGCTGCCGGAAATTCTCGTGCTTGACCGATATTTTCCTATCCTGCAGCGCCTGCGACACGGCCCACAGCAGTTTCTATTGCACAGGTTTGAGTTTAGAGTTATAGTTGAATATAGATAGATTATGCCTTACCTTTCGCTGATTATCCGTCATGGCGCTCTGCGGGGTTGCGCTCATTTCTGAATGGGCGCGCATTAGCTTGCTGCCAGGTGTTGTTGTGTTGGTGGTCAAATTGCTGCTGCTGCCGCTGAGTCCAAGACTTAGTCGGCTGGCGCTGCCAGAGCTAACAGCTGGCTGCAAGCTGGACGCCACACTGTAGTGAGCTGCTGATGTGGAGGAACCAGCTCCAATGCAAAAGCTTTGACTCTTTATTTTGAGGGCGCGAGGCGTTAAGCCGTTGCTGCCTGAGCCGCCAGTGCGGAAGAGCTTTCTGCTCTGGCTGGCAAGCTCGGCGGCATCCTCCTCGTCGTCATGAGCATTGCGTTTGCGCTTGAGCAGCGTCTCCAACTGGTGGCTCACGCTGTCAGCACTTGCAGCGCTTTGCTGCTGGCTGCCATTGTCGGGCGAGAAGAGCGCACGCTTTGACTTCTCCACACGATTAGCTATCTCCGGCTTGAAGAGCGGCTTGGGCGGTATCGGTTGCTGTTGCAGTGACTTGGCCGGGCTTTGGAACAGCGCGCGTTTGGAAGTCTCACGCGACGGGCCCGGCTTAATGAGATCAGTGCGATAAAGGCGCTTACGTGCTGAGGAGGATGGCGTCTTGCGTGCTGAAGTATACAAAATACTTTATTTATATAAATAGGTATATACTAATGGAAGTTAAGTCTTCAAACAAGCAGTTAAATATAAGCAATGTTCATTGGATAAACTAAACATTCACTTTTGTTGCTCCTGTTATCCATCTTGATTAGTCTTCACCTGCTAATTAACCCCGATTCTAATTATTACCTTTCTTTTTGCTTCCGGGTGTTTTACGTTTTGGTGTTGCTTTACGTTTATTTCGCTCTTTTCTGTAAAACAAATTGAGTTACTGACTGTGAAATAGTTATATATTGGTAGTTACTCACTTTTTATCTAGTAGTATTTGTGGACCTATAGAATTGTTTAGCTTAATGGAGTTTGTGGCCAGGTTTGCTGAAGAAAATATGGCTCGGCGTTTGGCCAAGTGACTGAGCCGATTGCCCGGCGATTGTGTAAGCATTCTAAGCATAGAAAACATATAAATCGTTTATAATTATTTCACAAGAATAGATTTTTACTGCTGCTGCACTCACTTCATGCGCATGTTGCGCTTCTTGGCACTGGATGGCGATCGTACATAGGACGTTGCCGTCTCTGCACCCACGTAGCGCTCTACCACGGACAGACTGAGGTATTCATTTTGTTCGGCAGCCTTGTTTAAATTGTAGCTAAGGAATAGTTGAAGATTTGCTGTTAGTTGGGAATGCAATTGGCATATTTGATCCAGCTCCTACCTAAGCCCATGCTGGCGTACGCCCAGCACTTCGCGCCAACTCATACCCTGCGCCTCGGCCAGACTGTGGGTTGGCTTGAACAGTGAGGGCGTGGTGCATATGCCACTATCCTCAATGCTGGACGGCGTGGTTGCTGACAAGAAGTTAAGCACATTTTCCTTCATATTCACCACCTTGCTGATGACATCAATGTCGGGCGTGGTCACGGTGGGTGGCGGGCGTATGCCCTGCAAACAGCGACGTATGCGTCGATAGAGCTCACGCTCCCGCCTACAATTCTCAATAAAGTGGGTGCGCGGGTCATTGCTCGTTAGCTGAGTCTCCTGCGTGTGCTCGTCCACAAAGCTAGATTCCGTGGGCGCGTTCAGAGAGTATCGTCCGCTGGCATTTTGGCTCGTCGTTGGCACCTCACTAACGCATTGGCTTTCCTCCAGAGCCTCGGGCAAGTCCTCCAGCATAGTGCCCAATCCTTTGTCGACTTGGTCGTCAGCCTCATCTTCATCGCTGTCGGCAAAGAGATCAGGCGAGCGTTCGTTGTTTATTTTCTTGAGTATAAACGATTCCGACAGCTGATTCGGCTGCTGCTGTGGCATCTGCTGGGGTGCATTGCGCGAACTGCTAGGCGCCTCAGTCAGACTCTTGATTTTCCCATCAAAGGACAAATTGTCTACAGTTGGCTTTGTTATGGATGCGACAGTCGTGGTTGGGATATCGACTGCGTTGCAGCTATTCTCCTCCAAGACGCTGTCATAGAATCTGGGAAAGACAATCATGCCCGGCGACTCGCGCTTTGCTGAGACCAGCTTCTCTGGTTGCTTCTCTGGCTCCGGCAGCTGCAGATGTTGCAGCTGCGAGCCGTAAAGTTGTTTGTTCACTTGGCCATACGGACTGTCGCCGAATCCTCGAAACTGCGACTCCTGGCTGCCTTGGGCACTCAATTTGTTGGCAGAGTCTTGGCTCAGTATTTTTGGCTTTAGCATATATGGCAGATTCATGTTCTCCTCGTCAGATATATGGCCCTCATTGTTTTCACTGAGCGAAGACTGCAAATTTACAAGAATTTTAAATAGATTTCGCTTTCACTTTTATTTGCAATTTCGCCTCTCACCCCGCTGCCCGTGGATGGCTCCGAATCGTAGCTGTTGTTGATCTTATGCACCGTATTTGAGTTAATTGTTGCCATCCTTCAGCAGTTCAACTAAAATTGCATTCATTTTCACATGTTAAACACATTTGATTTATCGCGTAGATATTTTTGGATATTCAAGGTACAGGCGCGCCCAAGGGAATATTGATAGGAGCGGCTTATAGGAAATACTATATTATGCGAGCGTATTAATAGTATTTCATATCAAGTGTGTAAACCTTAGCTAAATCTTACCCACAAGTTTTAATCGTGCAATTACCTTTTGAAATGTGGCACTTTTTTCTATGCGATGCGGCGGCATCAAGCAATAAAATGCGCGCGCATTAGATGCAGTTTTTTCGCAAACCTTTATGACTTTTTCAAATCGCAAGATTATTGTAAATAAGTAAATAGTGTTACCGTTAACTTGACTTCATCTCTTAACACTTTATTTAAGTATTAATTTAACATAAACTAATTTTGTTTTGTAATTTGTGTGTTGCGTGCGTGAACATCTGCAATGAAGAATTTGGCGGCGGCTCTTTGGATGTATTGTATGGTATCGATACATCGATATATCGATTTGTAGCCGATGCTTTGTGGTGTAATTCAGAAATAGCGATGAAAATAATATTGTTTATATTAAATAGTTCCTTTACAATAATCATTAAATTAAAATATACGAATTACTTAAATTATTTGAATTTAAATAACCTGACTGACTATTTGTATGAAATGCGTAGTTAATAACATATCACTAGCAACCACAAACGTGTAACGAGTCACTGCTGTAACGAAGTAATCGATATTTTGTCCGTAACTGAATGCTTATTTCATTTATAAATATGAATATCCAAAAGCACACTTCTTAAATGACATAAATTCTCAAACTTTCCATCATGATAAGAAATGGCCAATAGTAACCTAATGTTAAATGGTAGTCACATTGTTTACATCAGCGTATGCAGCCCTTGCATAACAGCTGACAACATTAAAATCCACATAACCACAATCTTTGATCCACAACTATTAAAGATGGACAACTGGAATTCACAGCTGTTTAAGCATCAATGTATCGAATAAATCGACTGAATTAGGGAACAACAAAAAACCACCAACTACTTATCTTATTAATATTTGTAAAAGCCACAAGCTCAGTGGTAAACAACATAGCGAGAGTAAGTAAACGAATTGTGAGTGCTCCGATTCGCCTGCTCGGAAAATAAAGCTCTGTCAGCAAACAATAAAAGTGACGCTCTTTGTTAAGTCATTCGTCGCTCACCACCTGCCAAAGTGCAGCATTTTGCACTGTGTCATTAACAATAACAACGTCAGACATAATACAATTCAGCAACATTGCGACGTCTCAAAATCAGTGCATCATTTATCACACACACTCTGCCATGCCATCCAACTGATTGCCATTGCCAATAAGATGCGTGGAATTGAGGGCAAAGTTGTTGTGCTAGGCTCGCGAGGTAAGCACCAAATGCAATTCAAACCAGTAGCATTTTATTGACTCTGAACTTCATACACAACGCAGTCGTAACCGTAGCTCACCCGAGTAATTCGTAATTGAAAACACTTTCAGCAATCGTCCAGAGATAACACAAAGTTGAGCTCTACTTTTTGTTTTTTTTTTTTTTGTTGTGTTATTTCTTTTGCGCGCCCAATTCGATAAGCGGTCGCTGCTTCAACACTTTGTGGGGGAGTTTCGTCGCGATTTCGTTCATCAACCCTAGAAAAATTAGGCCAAGCACAGCTTGTGAGGTCTTCGCTATTTCCATACATTGAATTCCAAAGCATACGGGACTTTTTTCGTCATTCACAATGCATTATACCCTCTATGCTTGAGTTAACGGCGCAGGGTAGTATACATATGACATAAACTATATATATTATATATATATATATATTATATATTATATATTATATATTATATATTATATATTATATATTATATATTATATATTATATATTATATATTATATATTATATATGTATATATATAAATGTCTTAAGCAGCTGTACAAATAAAATATTGTTCAAGCTAATTAGTTGCAAGATGACAACGGTCTAATGTAACCATAACGCTGCAAGGGTGTTTGGTTCAACTGCATGCGTTACAAATGTACTGTTTTTTTCTTTGCTTCGTGCACATTCGTAATTACCGTACTTTTTTTTTCGCAAGGTCAGCAAGCCTATGAATTTGAGCCACATGCGCCATATACAAACACACACACATTTAAACATACATATATGCATATTGATAGCAGCTTTATGTATGCAAGTTTGTGTGCATGTATGTATGTGTATTTGTCGCATATTCATATCTTACGACGGCATTCGCCATGCTCAGTTTTAAATCAGTCGCGTACTTTTTTATTTAATCTGTTCTTTTTGTTTTATTTTTGTTCGTTTATTCTATAAGATGAGTCAGTTCGACAATGTATTATGGGGGGTTTCACAATAGGAGTGTCTCATTTAATACAAAGCGATGCGGTGTCTGTGAGTAGACACATTAAAGGCTAGAGTCATACTTGCAACCGCATACGTATCTATGTATGTGTGTATGTATGTATGCATATGTAATTCAGTTGCCGTTCGCTTATCGCGTGTTTACTGTTAGCTGCGTCTCAGTAACACCTTTTGTTTATTGAACCCACTTTGTTTATATATCAGATAAGTAATATCGCCTATTTCTTTCTGCCTAAAAACAATGGAGTAAACATATAGAACCAGTTACATACATATATCAAATGTCACATTATATATATTCTCTGCAAATGGGCAAATAGTTGGGCGTAATGTGTTTAGCTTCCGAATCGGAGAGAATTTAGATTTGATATTACTGCTCGATACATCACAATTATAGACTATCAGCCAATCAATTTTGTGTATATATTGAAGATGTATATCATAGCTGTACTATTATTTTTAAAAAAAAACCTGAAATGTCTTACATTTTAAGTTGCAACATTTAAATAAGTTGCAACTAAACTTTTATAGATTATAAGTCGAAATCCTTTGTTTTCAGTCTCTCTTATCGTTTTTTTCTCACTTATACAAAACTCTTTTGACTCAGAATCTTTTGATATCCGAACTTTCTTTCTCCGTAGAGTATATACTTTGATAATGACCTCTTGAAATCTCTTCTATTTTCAGGTGTTGGCAAATCTCGTTTGGTCATTAAGTATATTAAAAATGCTCTGCATCGCAGCGAGGAGCCGACGATAGCTGTCTCCTTTTTCACCTGCAACATCATATTGGATGATGTCAAGATCAAATTACAGGTGAGTACAAGTGCCTTTCCATTTGCACACGGGCCACGTCTAATCGGAGCTTCTACTGCCAGTGTAACTTGCTTTTGGATGTCAGTTGTGTTATTCTTAGTCAGCTCGGATTATACAATGTTTTTCTATACCCTGTACATAGAGTGGGGTATTTTGCTTGAGTCAAAATATTAAGATATAGATATAGAGCTAGCCATGTTCATCTGTCTGTGCTCGTTTGATTATCCATTTTCTAAATAGATAATAGTTGAATCTATTCTTAACTATGTGAGTACCTTTGAGTGTTTTATATATAAAATATCTTTTAAGTATGTCTCGGTGCAGAGTGCAGAGTATCTAGAGGCATGCACGCCCGCCTAGAACTCTTTTGGTCTCTTTTAATTCGCAATTTCTTCGTCCAGTGCACTTTGTGTTTATTTGGCTTTTACTTTTTGGTCGGTCGTTCGCGTTTTCCTTCTCTTTTATAGTTTATTGATAAGCTAAATTTGTTTCCCCATAAGCTGGGGCTGAATTCCCCTCCCCCACCGTTTGCCCCCAAACTCGAACGACCGCTCGTATATTCCTTGGCGCGATTTCGATTTCGTTTTCGTTTTTTATATACCATGTGGACAGCAGCAGCTATATGAGTGGAGCGCATAATGGCAAATAGTTTTCGCTGGCACAGATTTTTAGCCCTTTGTCTTGCTGCGTTCTGGTCATGTCGTTGCCCCAAAAAAATTTTATGAAGATTTGAATTGTGCACCATAAAGAAGCGCACACACAATATGATTGTTATTATTGTGGGAAAGCGAAAAGCATAAAGACCGAAATTGCAGAATAAACGCAGAATGGCTCAATTAAAGTTCAAGTCGTTTGGAGTGTTGAACGCTGAGTGCTGAATGCCGATTGTTGCGAGAGTTGAGTGTGTGGTCGCTCGCATTGAGTTTCGCAGCTACAGTTGATTGAGCACTCATCCCTTTGCTTTTTTACAGATCTGGGATACCGCTGGACAGGAGCGCTTCAGGGCCGTTGCACCCATGTATTATCGCAATGCGAACGCTGCCATTTTAGTGTTTGACCTGACACAATATAAGACATTTACCGAAATCAAATCATGGATACAGGAGCTGCATCGCAATGTGCAGGATCCGATGATACTGACGCTGGTTGGCAACAAACTGGATATGGAGTCACAGCGAGCTGTCTCCCGCGATGAGGCATATCTGTTTGCCAGCTCGATTGGTGCCAACTACTTTGAGACATCCACCGAAACGGACCAGGGACTGGAGCAGGTGTTCCTGTCGACAGCACTGGGCCTAGTGCGGCTGGCCGACGAGGGCAAGAGTCACTCCTTGCGCTCCTTTGAGTCGACCGACTCGCTCTTCTACACCAACGGCAACACGGCCTTCAGCTACACGGCCGCTGCACTGGCGCGCAACGAGGATAGCGCTGCTTTTCGCCTGCCCTATGTGCATATAGGGATACCAGTGGATGGGCAGGATGTGAAGACGACGGGCGAGGGCCGTCTCGAGACGCCCTCGTGGGCAATCGAGCACATTGCCCTGGGCCAAGCGGAAAGGCCGCGCTGGTGCTGCTACTGAACAAAACCAGCCAGAGAACTGACAACCATTTTCTCAACCATTGTGATGTTAATTAAACAGGTTTACCTTTAGTTATGCACCTGCACTCGAATTCGAATCGGCTAAGCAATCGAAGCCAAATAGAAGACCACCCGTGAACACAAACACACACAAAGTAACAAGAAACAAAAACACAAATAAAACTGATAGATTGCCGAGCACTGGCCTCGACCACTGGCAACGGGTGGCAACCAATAGACACATCCAAATCGCGGCTGCTAGTCGTAAGCTAATTGTAAGCTTAGTCAATAAGTATAACCAGCAAATGCCTAATGTATATTTTATTTATGAATATTAACAAGCAGCAGCGTCGCTTAAAGCTTACTTGACTCAAACGTCGCTAACGTTCTTCATTTCAACGCACGCCGGACGCCGGGCCGGTCGGTTGGGTGTAATCACACACAATTCATGTACAAACACACTTTATACAACAAATATAGATATGTATATACAAGTTTATATATACAGCTACATATAAAAGGTGTGCATAATGTGTCGTTTGTCCACGCCCACAAAGCATTAAACCAACATCACTCCAGCTCCTGCATATGCAATAACTTGGCCATTAACGCAAAAAGTTGTCGTGTAATTGGAATTTAATGTGCCTGGGAGAGGCCAAGGGTTACAATTAAGATGCCGAGTAGTCTAAGTAGCTAGTCCCAGTCCACGTTTGTGACGCAAGTCCATAAAGCTCTGGCTGAAAATAGTCTCCGCCCATTTAGAGCTAATATACAAAACTTATGGTCAGTTGATTTCTTATGTATAAGTAATACGCGCAATTTAGCGTAAGAAGTCGACGGAGTAGCAACTACAACAGTGACAAAAGGCCAAAAACTCATTCAAGTGTCATCAACACATTTACAGGAGCGCTGGACCTGAACCTGAGGATGCTGTCGCTGTCGTTGCTGATGTTGTCACAGCTTGCTTTTGGACACACGGCGGGAGCATTGATTTGCCATTAGGCAGCAAATGAGTTTACTTGACACCCAAAGCAGTTGGGTCTTCACTTGTTGTCTGTCTATATACTGGCGCGCTCAACCGGAAGCGATGTTCAAATCTACACACACACACACCCACACACATACCCTAAGAGCCATTGGCCGTTGGCATACGCTGCTTAAGGCACCAATGTCTTTAGCTTGTGGCAAGCTGGCACGCACCACACATACCACAACATAAAACACAATACAGACCCACACACACACACATATTGACACTGCTGCTAATGGCGCTTAGTTTGCTGACTTAATGATCTAGAAATGCATCAATGTAATCAAGGTAAGGCAGCCGCTTGCAGGCAGCCACAGGGAATTCTGTCTCGGCGACTCTTAACATTTGCAGTTGGCTAAACCGCACTGAATTCTACGCAAATTGCTTATTTTATTTACATAGCTGTTGCCAAGGTAATAGACCAAAAATACCAGATCAAATTATCATCCTTTAGCAATTTGTGGCCTAACATTTTCTATGTTTTTATTAACCACAGTGAATTGTGAACGTGTTTCCACTGTGGATAAAATATTACGGCTTAATCTTTTACTTGTCTTGCACATCTGGGCAACAATTTTGCTTTCAAGTTTTCCTTTTTAAAGGGAAAAAGATAATTATGTTTTGTAAGCCAGGCAGATATAATCATGTGTGCTGTATCCGACTAGAAGTTACCCTGACTATAAGCAGCAAGCAAGAGATTATCTCTTTGCGAATATATATGAAATCATCATTGACAATTAGAAATGTGATCCATCACTCCAAGAACTTGATACATTTGTAATCTCTAATCCAGTATAATTGTAACATTCAAATATGTATATTTATAACTAAATTCTATATTGTGACAAAGTGATATTTCTAATATTTCACAGCGAATAATCAATTTTTAACACAATCTGTGCATAAGCCCTTATAAGACCCACTTTACCTATCGAGCATAAAAATTTTGACAACAAATTAAATTTACAAAACATAAAACCCGTATACAAAACGTATACATAAGCACTTTACATGGTGAATAACCAAATCTCATGCGACTCACGTAATAATACCCTGTTAGCCAGCGAAATGTGCGAGTCGGTTGTATGCGTGCAATAAGAATGTTGCTAACAGATGAAGGTATTGGTATATAGAAGTTAGTGTGAAGGTCAGAAAATATGTATATATGGTAGAAATCGGAGAAACTGTGTTTCGTATACAGAGTCCGAAATAAGAAGTTTGATAAATGAGTTTTATTTATTTCAAAGTTAATTTCTATTTAAAAATATAGTCCAAAATAAGAATTTTACTTTGACTTGATTTGAATTCCTTTTGCCTTGATTATAACAAAGTCATTGAATTGTAATCTGACCGAAGGTGATTTGCTGAAGTCTTAATTATTTTTTCAAATTTCAGAAGATTTCATAGTTTCGATGAATTCCAAGCAACATATAAAGCACTAAAGCTCTTTTCATTTAATAAAAATTCAATATGCATAATTTTTTTACAATTTACGCAGTATCTTGCAGTCGTTCACGTTCATCTATAGTGTTTTTTAGTTGATTTTTTGACAGTTTGTAAGCTTTTGCCGGTTTTAGCTGCAAATCTTTATGCTTTTGTTCGTTTCTACCTCGAAATGCAAAAATTGTTTTTAGCCATTAGATTAAAGTATGTTAGTTGGCAACAACAGGCAACATATACATAAGCATATGTGTGTGTATGTTCATATAACATATTCAGTTTGGCATATAGTAAATAAATTGAATTAGATGTCCGTTTTGGCATATTTACGAGTCTGTTTGTGTATGTGACATAAACTATATATGTGCACACATGTGTCTATATATATATATGTATATATATATATATATATATATATATATATATATATATATAACATGAATATGTATTTATGGTCATGTCAAATACGCTAAAGTTCTCAATGCCACATAAATTGAACACAAACAAACGCAAATCAAATATGCAAACGAACAAATTGCTGCGTTTGGCTGGGGGTGTGTGTGTGAGTGTGTATGAATATTTGCTTGTGTTTTAGTATTGTGAAGGTGGCGGGTGACGACTGTAAGTTGAACCCGACACCGGCTTTGTTGTTCATGCATATGATTTTGAATATTTAACAGGTGTGTGCCACGGTTTCTGTACTGCAGCTCAGCGCGCTCGCTTCTGATGCATACTTTATGGCGTCCGATATGTGAGTTGAGCTCTGTGGCGCATACATTTTATACAGTTTGTTTAGCAATACACATTCACACACACCTACACAGCTGTGCTGACCCGTACAAAGCGAACACACTGCAAGTGCAGGGTATTTATCCATGCACTTCAATGCATGCCCTGAGCAACATCTGACACTCGACACACAAATACCGAAGGTAGCCCCAGCAGTTGGAGCTCACTCGCATAGATGGGTTAAACTAATGCTTGAAAGTTCAGTTGCACTTAAGAGTTGTCTGTCTGCAGTGTGTGCCGAGTTTAGCAAATGGTTGCCAAGGCGATTTCAAATGGAAATAAAAACAAACAAGTAAGAAAGCTCTAGTCGGGGTGCCTGACTAGGAGATACCCTGATCCCAGTCCTATTTGCGTTTATTAAAATATCTATCACTAATAGATGCTGAGATCCACGCGTTCACGGACAGACGGACAGGGCTCAATCGACTCGTTTTGTCGTCCTGATCAAAAATATATATACTTTATGGGGTCTGCCACGCCTCCTTCTGCCTGTTACATACATTTGCACAAAACCATTATACCCTGATTTCCCATTTTCAATGGGATCAGAGTATAAAAATTAGATTTTGTTATTGGAATTGCGAGAAATGAATGCCAAGGCATGCACAATCACAGCCACAGTCGGCAGTCGGCAGTCGGCAGTCTAGCAAATCAAGATTTCCAAGTAGTCATCAGTCTAATTGGAATAAGTCTTGGCAAAGTGAGAACAAATAAAGAAACTTAAGTTTTTCTTGCCTTTGTCGAGAATACCAAGATGTATAACGAGATATAACGAGAGAAAAACATATTTGAGTTAATTCTATATATCTAGTATATACAGCTGTGTTCATAAAAAGAGCACTAAATATTGCAGGACGCAATTTAGTGATTAACACAATAATACGAAAACAATTTGAATATTTTTTTTGTTTTAATTTAGATTTTTGTTACAAAAAAAATATTTATATTTATATATTATATATTTATTTTTTTTAAATATTTCTGACTATTTTAATGGCTCTTTAATGTATATTTATAGCTACCGCTGTATATGTTGAAATTTATATAAATCAATTGATATTTTTTATTTATATAAATAATATAACAGCTTTGCTTGCGTTGAGACAGAGAGAAGACGACTTGGGGTCTTATATATATATATATACATATATATATATATATATATATATATACTTATAAATTTTTATACTTATAAATTTAGATATGAGAAGACAAAGACTTTTGTTATACAAGCAAAGCTCTGAGTCTTTAAGCTATTATTATAAAAATGACTCAAGAGTTCGTCATTCAATTGAATGTGTTTCCTCTATGTATATATATATTACTCAATGAACTATATGATATACATATATTATATACATATGTATGATATTATGCATTTCTCCTTCTGTTGTGTACTTTTTTTATTGTTCTTTTTGTGGCTGATTCTTATGTTTAATTAAAATCGACTTCACATAGAGCAACTCTATTAAATACCTCTATAGAAATGAGTTGATATAAGATAGTTTCATAGCTCTTTCACATATATTAGAGTATTACAATAGGAAGATTATATACAATAAAATTATTTGTTATATAAAAGACTAATATATTCTATAACTCTTATGTATGCTCACTTAAGCTTCTTGTTGGAAATCAATTTTTTCTTTTTCTTATCAGATTTTCCGCTCTTTCAACTTTCCAATCCGCGCTCGAGCATTTATCATTATTTACGTGACAAGTCAATATTCAAGCTTGTTCGACAAGTTGTTAAATTGATTTGAGTTAGGTGATATTTATTTATTTGCTGATTGTAATGACCCGAATGTAGAAACAAATTGTCATAATAGTTATTTGACAAATAAATTAAATTAAATGCATTTAAATTGAATACAGCTGCAGCTGCAGCTGCAGTTGGAGTAGCATCTGTAGCTGCTGGTAATTGCATATGGCTTAAAGCTGCAGATGTCATTAAATCAACAAGAAGGCAAAATGGCTTTGCTGCAAATAGTTGAAATTCCTTTTGCTCTGGGCACTGTCAAGAAAAGTAGCAGGCGCTGAAAGCTATGCAGCGACATGGAAGAGACCACATCAGAGAATGGTGAAAATTCCACAGGCCAAGGCAGAGAGGCTGGGGCTAAGCCAGAGACTGAGACTAAGGCGGGCTGGCGTATCGTTTGAGCATCTGTCTCGGACTCAAATCCCAAATGCATGGAGTACCCTGCTCTGTATCTGCTGCACAAAGGCAATGT